GCTATTCTCCACATACTGTCCACTGATGGGCATCAGTGGTCACCATGTGCCCACTGTGCTTGGTCATGTGAGCAGTCTTGGGGTGGGTGTTAATTGTAGGGCAGTCAGTTAATTGTGGTGCAGTAAAGTGGGAGGGGGCAAAAAAGGGCAATAGTCCAAAATTTGCATGCAGCCCTTATGGCGTTTTTAATTGCCATTTTAAATTTTCGGTGGACTCCTAAAGAGTAACTCCTCCCTCCCTAAGTAAAAAAGAGATTTGTAAATTTATGTTTACTAGCACACGTTGCTTGATCCTGTATGTTGTTTTAAAAAAAAAAAAAAAAAGCCCCAAAAAACATACATACTAGTTCATGGAGTCAGCATTGTCCTTCTATCAGGCTAAACGTCGTCGCTCCTGTGCCACCAACTAGGACCTAATATCCCACGGTGTCTCTGGGTCACTGCTTGGTCTATGGGACCCAAATTCTTTTGGGGGGGGGGGCAGCAGGGGGTAAGAATTTTTGTCTAGGAGGAGAAATCTGGGTAGGAGTGGTGATTTGTGTTGGGAGGGGGATTTGCACTAGGAGGGATATGGGGGGGGGGGCTGTTGTTCCAGAGAATGTGATATGATGGGGGGGGGGGGGGGGGGTTGTGCTAGGATGGGGTATTGGGGAGGGAATGTTTGCTGGGGGGCGGGGGAGGATTTGTGCTCTGAGGGGAAATCTGTGGGGTAGAGGATTTGTGCTGGATGATTTGAGCCAGGGGGAGCAAAGACGTGCCTGGAGGGGGGATTTCAGTAGGGGTAGATTTGAACTGGGAGGAGGGGGGATTTATGCTTTTGGCGTGATTTTGTATAATTTTTTTTTTTTTTTTTTTTGAGATGTAAGTAGGCTGTGGGCCAGGCTGCAGTTGGATTATTATTATTATTATTACATGGAGTTTATATAGCGCCAAAGGGTTTGCTCAGCGCTGTACAATAGGGGGGACAATACATGGCACAGTACAACAACAACAAACAACGTATGAGGGGTAAGAGGGCCCTACTCCTACGAGCTTACAATCTAGGAGGGAGGGGGTAAAGGTACAGTAGGAAGTGGCTGAGGGGGATGAAGTGGTGGGAGGAATGAGGGAGGATGGCCGTTAGGTGAGGGTGGGGTAGGCTTCCCTGAAGAGATGGGTTTTGAGGGAGCGCCTGAATGTGAATAGGGAAGGCGACAGTCTGATGGATTGGGGCAGTGAGTTCCAGAGGATGGGGGAGGACCTGGAGAAGTCCTGCAGTCGTGCATGGGAGGAGGAGACCAGGGAGCAGGATAGGAGGTCCTGTGAGGAGCGAAGGGTACGGGTAGGGTGGTACTTGGTGATCAGGTTGGTGAGGTAGTCAGGGGCAGTGTTGTGAACGGCTTTGTAGGTCAGGGTTAGGAGTTTTAAATTTGATGCGTTGGGCAATCGGGAGCCAGTGGAGGGAGAGGCAGAGGGGGGTGGCAGAGGTGGAGCGGGTGGTGAGGTGGATGAGTCTGGCAGCTGAGTTCAGGATGGTCTGGAGCGGGGAGAGCCTGCACTTGGGTAGGCCGGTGAGGAGGGAGTTGCAGTAGTCAAGGCGTGAGATGATGAGGGAGTGTACTAGTAGTTTTGGTGGTGTCTGGGGTGAGGAAGGAGCGTATCTTGGCAATGTTGTGAAGATGGAGCCTGCATGTGTTTGTGAGTGATTTGACATGAGGTTGGAGGGAGAGGTTCGCGTCAAGAATGACGCCAAGGACTTTGGCTTGCAGGGCGGGAGTGATAGTGGAGTTGTTGGTGATGATGGATAGGATGGGGGGGGGGGGGGTGTTGGCAGGGGGGGGAAAGATGAGGAGCTCGGTTTTGGAGAGGTTGAGCTTGAGGAAATCGGATATCGGTTTCCGGTAGATTGGCTTTCAGACTTCATAGGTGTAGAACGAAGATCTGTGATGTCATTTCTGATGTCTGGAAATAATGAGGATGTGTTCTCTTCTCAGTCAGCGATCCAGTCCGGAAGCAATACGGAGACAATATTCGATGGATCCGGGAAGCTGGAAAACATCAATTGGTACTTTATCTCCTTTTTTTTTTTTTTTTTTTTTCCCTATTACAAAATAAAAGTTAGCACTGTAAAAGTGTGTGTGTATTTTTTTTTTTTTTTTTTTTTTGGCAGGTGTGAGAAAATGCTGTAAATTTAGAACGCTTTCAGAAATAAAGGTCTTCATCATTTTTATTAACAAAATGGAAAGTAAATGAGCAGCAGAGAAATCCAAATCAATATTTGGTGTGACTAGACATGTGCAGAACGAAAAAAAAAAGAGTTTCAAATCGATTTCTTAAGTTACTTATTTAATTTTGTTGCATTTGTAACTAAATACGTTTTTTTTTTCTTCTTTTATTCATTTACAAACCATCTACCACTGGCAGAGATCCCTACAACAATCAGCTTTTTATTCATGTAAAACCTTTTTATCCCAAAAGGAACAAAAAGGTGGTTACTGCTTGTGTAACTGAAGGGAGAGCCGGAGTTTGGCTTTAATTTTGTTAGTGTATCTAAATCTGCTAATACATCTAACACTCTGCTCCACCCCAGACTGACAATGCTGCTGTCCAAAGGTGCCCCCCAGTGTTCGAGGGCACTCAAATACAGGAGGTCTGTTACTGACCAGATCACAAGGTGAAAACTGAGGCGGGAAAAGCCTAAAACTAATGCAGCCACCATATCTGATTGGTAATTTGTAATATAACTTTCTTTTTTCTTGGTTTTCATTTTCAATACTGCTTTAAAATCTGTAGCTGATATATGATCACTGGAAGACACTTCGAGAATAAGTCCAGCGTAATTCAGAGGACTCTCAATACGCTTCCCTCTATTTTTCTTCAGGTTGTCGGCTCTCAAGCACGAATTTTGTATTCCGATCAGAAGGGGAGGATTGCCATTGCTGTCGCCATAAATCACGCTGTAGCAACTGGCCGGGTCCAGGTAATGCAGGATGGGGGTCAAGGAACATCATGGAGGCTCAGCATCTCATGTGGGTATTAGCTGTGCGCAAATACAGCCTGCCTAGGAACGCCCACTCCTCTAGACTGACAACCATCCAGCAAGGCATTTAGAAATTTGCATAACTCCTCCCACTACTTTCATCAGGGCTGAGGGCTCTTGAGAGCAGGGGTGGACTGATAACTCATGGGGCCCCCGGGCAATAGGGGATCATGGGGCCCCTGTGTCCTTGCCCAAACTCGAAAAAGGTACCAGGGGCATTTCATTGGGCCCCCTACTGACCCCGGGCCCTCAGGCAGTGCCCGAGTTTCAAAATGGTCAGTCGGCCCCTGGTTGAGAGGAGTATGAAGGCCAATGTGATGCTTTCGGGAAGCGATATACTGCTCCCTGCTAATCCTGCCCACCAGCTATTATTTGCCTGCAGTGCATGGAGAAGCACAGAGACCCAGTGATGACATCACACATCAACCCTGACAAATGTGGGCTGTGTGGTGTGTTTTTTTGTGTTTTTTTTTTTTTTTTTTCTTCATTTGTGTGTTAGTTTTTTTTGTTTTTTTTTTTTTTATTTGTGGAATGGCTGATCACTTTGCTTTTCTTCCCCAGGCTCCAGTGGTTATCAGTCGGGATCACCATGATGTGAGTGGGACAGATAGCCCATACAGAGAAACGTCCAATATATATGATGGCTCCGCCTTCTGTGCAGGTATCTATGACCCGATGGGACTGGTCAGGGTCTGCTTAGACATCATGATGCTGAACGCATGCCTTTAGACTCCACCCCAGTCTCCCCCCCCCCCCCCCCCCACCCCACCCCCACACACACACACAGGTTGAAACTGGCTTTACACTCAATTCTTTGCAAACTTGCATCTCAACATGATCGCCCTCAGCTGCTGCAATCTGCCTTCATTTCCTCCCTGTATGACTTCAATCAAAAATGAATAAATTAATTTCCTCTTCTCCTGATCCGTACTGTGGTTGCCCACCTTTCACAGCTATTGGCTTTCTCTATCATCAATATTCCCCTCCCTTTTTTTTTTTCTGCATTTTGATAGAACACATTCCCAACATCCCTTTAGACATGCATCCTTAAAGTGATCAAATTGCACAGATTATTATTATTATTATTCACAATTTTATATCGAGCCAACAGTTTGTGCAGCGCTTTACAAAGTGAGGGCAGACAGTACAGTTACAATACAATTCAAAACAGGAGGAATCCGAGGGCCCGGCTCCTTGGAGCTTACAATCTAAAGGGGAGGGTCAAGTGATACAAAAGGTAATAACTATGTCATGGTCTGGGCCAGATCTAGACTGTCTGTAGGGGTGCAGTAAAAAATCTCGGAGGGATTTGAGGTCAGTAGGGCAGTGTGCAGGGGGCAGCAGGGCAGAGGGTGGGGTCAGCAGTTTATAGGGCAGTCTACAGAGGTCATTTGTAGGACAGTGTGCCGTGTATCAGCCGAACAGAGTGTCAGGGTCAGCAGGGTGGAGAACATGGGTTGTCAGGTCAGCAGTGCAGAGGACAGGAGTCAGTAGGGCATAAGACATTGGTCAGCAGAGAAGAGGACAGGGTCAATACTGGCAGAGCACTCAGCAGGTCTCCTCCTACCTTCCCCACAGTGCAAACAGCCTGGGTACTCAGAGCTCCTCCATCCCACACAGCACATAGCTGAGAGTAGATTCTCTTACAGACACAGCATCCATCTGCACAGTATGTAGCTGGCCTTGCACATATCCCCCCGAATCCTTCCTCCTTGCGCACATCCCCCCCGAATCCTTCCTCCTTGCGCACATCCCCCCTCCAATCCTTCCTCCTTGCGCACATCCCCCCTCCAATCCTTCCTCCTTGCGCACATCCCCCCTCCAATCCTTCCTCCTTGCGCACATCCCCCCTCCCCATCCTTCCTCCTTGCGCACATCCCCCCTCCCCATCCTTCCTCCTTGCGCACATCCCCCCTCCCCATCCTTCCTCCTTGCGCACATCCCCCCTCCCCATCCTTCCTCCTTGCGCACATCCCCCCTCCCCATCCTTCCTCCTTGCGCACATCCCCCCTCCCCATCCTTCCTCCTTGCGCACATCCCCCCTCCCCATCCTTCCTCCTTGCGCACATCCCCCCTCCCCATCCTTCCTCCTTGCGCACATCCCCCCTCCCCATCCTTCCTCCTTGCGCACATCCCCCCTCCCCATCCTTCCTCCTTGCGCACATCCCCCCTCCCCATCCTTCCTCCTTGCGCACATCCCCCCTCCCCATCCTTCCTCCTTGCGCACATCCCCCCTCCCCATCCTTCCTCCTTGCGCACATCCCCCCTCCCCATCCTTCCTCCTTGCGCACATCCCCCCTCCCCATCCTTCCTCCTTGCGCACATCCCCCCTCCCCATCCTTCCTCTTTGCGCACATCCCCCCCCCCATCCTTCCTCTTTGCGCACATCCCCCCTCCCCATCCTTCCTCTTTGCGCACATCCCCCCTCCCCATCCTTCCTCCTTGCGCACATCCCCCCTCCAATCCTTCCTCCTTGCGCACATCCCCCCTCCAATCCTTCCTCCTTGCGCACATCCCCCCTCCCCATCCTTCCTCCTTGCGCACATCCCCCCTCCCTATCCTTCCTCCTTGCGCACATCCCCCCTCCCCATCCTTCCTCCTTGCGCACATCCCCCCTCCCCATCCTTCCTCCTTGCGCACATCCCCCCTCCCCATCCTTCCTCCTTGCGCACATCCCCCCTCCCCATCCTTCCTCCTTGCGCACATCCCCCCTCCCCATCCTTCCTCCTTGCGCACATCCCCCCTCCCCATCCTTCCTCTTTGCGCACATCCCCCCTCCAATCCTTCCTCCTTGCGCACATCCCCCCTCCCCATCCTTCCTCCTTGCGCACATCCCCCCTCCCCATCCCCTTCCTCCTTGCGCACATCCCCCCTCCCCATCCTTCCTCCTTGCGCACATCCCCCCTCCCCATCCTTGCACGTGTCTGTCCGTTCCCCCCCCCCCCCCCTCCTTGCACCTGTCTGTCCGTTCCCCCCCCCCTCCCCATCCTTGCACGTGTCTGTCCGTTTTCCCCCCCCCCACCCCATCCTTGCACGTGTCTGTCCGTTTTCCCCCCCCCCCACCCCATCCTTGCACGTGTCTGTCCGTTTTCCCCCCCCCCCACCCCATCCTTGCACGTGTCTGTCCGTTTCCCCCCCCCCCTCCCCATTCTTGAACGGGTCTGTCGTCCCCCCCCCCCCCCCCCCCTCTCCATCCTTGCACATATTCCCCTCCAGTCCCCCCTCCTAGCAATTATCCCTTCCCAGTGCAGATTGTCGTTACTCATTTATTTTCACACACCCGGGATCGTTAGTCCGGACTGCACACAGTTTACCTGCACCCTGCCTCCTCCAAGTCCCGGCAGAAGGAAATGTGTGCAGGCAATTAAACTGTGCAGTCCGAGCCAGCGATCCTGTGTGTATGGAGGAGCGCTCCACTGACAGCACAGCACTGCACCAGGCTGTGCATCACGTCCCGGGCCGGCCCTGGGTGTGGGAACAGGGTATGGTACTCGGCCATCAGCCAGGGGGTGCACAACAGAAATCTGGGGGGGTGCAGCCCACCCCAGCACCCCCCTAGATCCAGCCATGGTCAGAGGCCAGGCTCAGAGACAAGTAGCTATAGCAGTAGAGGGGTTCCCACCGACCAGCTGGATTGGTGAACATGGAGGTCAACCTGGAAGATGACACGGCTCCCTGAGGTGCGGGCTCTAAGCCTGAACTGTTGTTCATAATAGCTCCTGAAGGTGAAGATGGGTTTTGCTGCATGTTGGTACCAGGTCACGGTGCACAGGATCGCTCCACCAGGAGGTGGGCAGGCCGGGGTCCAGTATCAGATATAGCAGGTAGGGATCAAGCAGAAACGTAGGCCGTACACAAGCCACAGGTCAGTAACAAGTGGTAGCAGGTTGAGATCAAGCAGAACGTAAATGGGGAACAAGCCAAAGGATGGTAATTAGTGGTAGCAAAGATACAGATGGCAGCAGTAGTGACGAGAATGAGCAATTGGCTGGAGAAAGAACAATAATCTGCCAAACGGGAAGTGCAGAGACATGGCTTGCATTAGAAGATTCATGGGAGGAGCAAAGAGTTAAAGGTTTACGAGACAGAAGACCTAAGGCAAAGTTGTCTTAAGAAATTGGGCAAGAAGTTGTCCAGCATCTCGGGAAGAAGAGTTGTTGTCAGACACAGCAGGGGTCCTGGGTTCAGCTCCGGGCCCTGACAACTAAAGTCTGTAGCATCTAGTGCCCAGCAGGGAAAAATATGCATATCTAAAGGGATGTTGGGGATGTGTTCTTTCCTATAATGCTCTTGAAAGAAGATCTGAGACCGGATGCTGTGATGTTTACTGAACTGAAAGGGTATGATGAGGAAAGGAGTGGCTGCTGTTGGGGAAATAAAAAATGCGGGCATATTCTGTAGAGGTAAGATGACCCCCTCCTTAAACCCCTGCAGGAAACAAAACTGTAGTCTTTTCTAAGTGTTAGAACTGCAGCTTCAGATCTATCTGAGAAAGAGGGGAAAAAAGGGTTTTGTGTCAAATTTTTTTTATTTTTTTTTCCTCTATAAACCTTATTTTACATACAGTATATTGGCAAAAGTATTTGGCCTTTCCACGCACATGGACTCTAATGGCCCCCAGTCTTAGTCCGTAGGGTTCAATATTGAGTTGGCCCCGCCCTTTCCACGCACATGGACTCTAATGGCCCCCAGTCTTAGTCCGTAGGGTTCAATATTGAGTTGGCCCCTCCCTTTCCACACACATGGACTCTAATGGCCCCCCAGTCTTAGTCCGTAGGGTTCAATATTGAGTTGGCCCCGCCCTTTCCACACACATGACCTTTAATGGCCCTCCCGTCTTAGTCCGTAGGGTTCAATATTGAGTTGGCCCCGCCCTTTCCACACACATGACCTTTAATGGCCCCCCAGTCTTAGTCCGTAGGGTTCAATATTGAGTTGGCCCCGCCCTTTCCACGCACATGAACTTTAATGGCCCCCCATTCTTAGTCCGTAGGGTTCAATATTGAGTTGGCCCCGCCCTTTCCACACACATGACCTTTAATGGCCTCCCAGTCTTAGTCCGTAGGGTTCAATATTGAGTTGGCCCCGCCCTTTCCACGCACATGAACTTTAATGGCCCCCCATTCTTAGTCCGTAGGGTTCAATATTGAGTTGGCCCCGCCCTTTGCAGCTATAACAGCTTCAACTCTTCTGGGAAGGCCGTCCACAAGGTTTAGGAGGGTGTCTATGGGAAGGTTGGACCATTCTTCCAGAAGCACATTTGTCAGGTCAGGCACTGATGTCGGGGGAGGAGGCCTGGCTCACAGTCTCCGCTCTAATTCATCCCAAAGGTGTTCTGTGGGGTTGAGGTCAGGACTCTGTGCAGGACAGTCAAGTTCCTCCACCCCAAACTGGCTCCTCCATGTCTTTATGGACCTTGCTTTGTGCACTGGTGGGCAGTCATGTTGGAACAGGAAGGGGCCATCCCCAAACTCCTCCCACAAAGTTGGGAGCATGAAATTGTCCAAAATGTCACCTTAAGAGTTCCCTTCACTGGAACTAGGGGGCCAAGCCCACCCCCTGAAAATCAACCCCACACCATAATCCCCCTCCACCAAACTTTACACATAGCCTGGAAAATGTGAAAAGGAGCCTACAGATCCATCTCGTGGCTCAACAACAGAATGAAAAAAAAAAAAAAAAAAAAGGGTGTGTATGTATATATTTATGTGTGTATGTATAAATATAATCTTTATTTTTTTTTTTAAACTGTATTTTTTGTCCTAATTTAATGACCTATTCCTCTCCTGTCTTGTAGATATGGCTGTACAGAACTTTGTGGGAGATGCCTTCCGTGGAGCTACGTGGGTAGCCCTACATAATGGAGGCGGAGTTGGCTGGTGAGTGGGTGGGGCCTAGTGGGGGGGATTTCAAACGGGGGAAAAAATGGTTTGTTCTGTAACCGAATGGTGGAAGTCATTATAAAATCGCTTAATCTAACTGGGGGGGTCATTTAAGGGTATGTATGTGAGATGGATAGATATGCAGTGCTATTCATCCTGTGAAACTTCACATACCTTAATTCTGTGCAAATGAAAGCAACTGTTGTTGGGCTATTTTATTTTTCAGGTCAAATGTTGTTCTTCATACAGAATAAATCTGGAAAATACTGAATTATGACCACTAGATGGAGCTCATGATCATAGTTGATGATGATCATCCTCTGCTTCATCTATTGGCCAATAGATTGTTCTGCCCTATTCACATGTATGTGCTGTGCTATAGCTCTGATGGATGGATGGATGGATGGATGATAGATAGATAAGAAGATAGATATCTGAGAGAGAGAGGGGGGGGGGGAGAGAGGGGGGGGGAGATATGATAGAGAGAGAGAGAGAGGGAGATATGATAGAGAGAGAGAGAGAGGGAGATATGATAGAGAGAGAGAGAGAGAGAGAGAGAGAGAGAGAGAGAGGGGGGGATATGAGAGAGAGAGGGGGGGATATGAGAGAGAGAGGGGGGGATATGAGAGAGAGAGAGGGGGGGATATGAGAGAGAGAGAGAGGGGGAGATATGATAGAGAGAGAGAGGGAGATATGATAGAGAGAGAGAGAGAGGGAGATATGATAGAGAGAGAGAGAGAGGGAGATATGATAGAGAGAGAGAGGGAGATATGATAGAGAGAGAGAGAGGGAGATATGATAGAGAGAGAGAGAGGGAGATATGATAGAGAGAGAGAGAGGGAGATATGATAGAGAGAGAGAGAGGGAGATGATGATAGAGAGAGAGAGAGGGAGATATGATAGAGAGAGAGAGAGGAGATATGATAGAGAGAGAGAGAGGGAGATATGATAGAGAGAGAGAGAGGGAGATATGATAGAGAGAGAGAGAGGGAGATAGAGATAGAGAGAGAGAGGCGAGAGAGAGAGATGTGATAGAGAGAGATGTGAGAAGAGAGAGATGTGATAGAGAGAGATGTGATAGAGAGAGATGTGATAGAGAGAGATGTGATAGAGAGAGAGAGATGTGATAGAGAGAGATGTGATAGAGAGAGATGTGATAGAGAGAGATGTGATAGAGAGAGATGTGATAGAGAGAGATGTGATAGAGAGAGATGTGATAGAGAGAGATGTGATAGAGAGAGATGTGATAGAGAGAGATGTGATAGAGAGAGATGTGATAGAGAGAGATGTGATAGAGAGAGATGTGATAGAGAGAGAGAGAGAGGTGATAGAGAGAGAGAGAGATGTGATAGAGAGAGAGAGAGAGATGTGATAGAGAGAGAGAGAGATGTGATAGAGAGAGAGAGAGATGTGATAGAGAGAGAGAGAGATGTGATAGAGAGAGAGAGAGATGTGATAGAGAGGAGAGAGAGATGATGATAGAGAGAGAGAGAGATGAAGATAGAGAGAGAGAGAGATGTGATAGAGAGAGAGAGAGAGATGTGATAGAGAGAGAGAGAGATGTGAGAGAGAGAGAGAGAGAGATGTGAGAGAGAGAGAGAGATGAGATAGAGAGAGAGAGAAGAGTGATAGAGAGAGAGATGTGATAGAGAGAGAGATGTGATAGAGAGAGAGATGTGATAGAGAGAGAGATGTGATAGAGAGAGAGATGTGAGGAGAGAGAGATGTGATGAGAGAGAGAGATGAGTGATGGAGAGAGAGATGTGATGGAGAGAGAGATGTGATGGAGAGAGAGAGAGAGATGTGATGGAGAGAGAGAGAGAGAGATGTGAGGAGAGAGAGAGAGAGAGAGATGTGATGGAGAGAGAGAGAGAGATGTGATGGGAGAGAGAGAGAGATGAGATTGAGAGAGAGAGAGAGATGTGATGGAGAGAGAGAGAGATGTGATGGAGAGAGAGAGAGAGATGTGAGGAGAAGAGAGAGAGGAGGAGAGAGAGGAGAGAGAGAGAGAGAGAGAAGATGGAGAGAGAGAGAGAGAGAGAGAGATGGAGAGAGAGAGAGAGAGTGATGGAGAGAGAGAGAGAGAGGTGATGGAGGAGAGAAGAAGAGAGAGATGTGATGGAGAGAGAGAGAGAGATGTGAAGGAGAGAGAGAGAGAGAGAGAGAGAGAGAGAGAGAGATGTGATGGAGAGAGAGAGAGAGAGTGATGGAGAGAGAGAGAGAGATGTGATGAGAGAGAGAGAGAGAGATGGATGGAGGAGAGAGAGAGAGATGTGATGAAGAGAGAGAGAGAGAGATGAAGATGGAGAGAGAGAGAGAGATGTGATGGAGAGAGAGAGAGAGATGAGGATGAGAGAGAGAGAGAGAGATGAGATGAGAGAGAGAGAGAGAGAGATGTGATGGATGGGAGAGAGAGAGAGATGTGATGGATGGAGAGAGAGAGATGAGGAGAGAGAGAGAGATGGATGGAGAGAGATGTGATAGAGAGAGATGTGATAGAGAGAGAAGATAGAGAGAGAGGTGATAGAGAGAGATGTGATAGAGAGAGATGTGATAGAGAGAGATGTGATAGAGAGAGATGATGTAGGATAGAGAGAGATGTGATAGAGAGAGAGAGAGAGAGAGGATAGAGAGAGAGAGAGAGATGAGAGAGAGAGGTGAAAGAAGGAGAGAGAGGAGAGATGTGATGAGAGAAGAGAGAGAGAGAGATGTGAGAAGAGAGAGAGAGAGAGATGAAGAAAGAGAGAGAGAGAGATGAGAAGAGAGAGAGAGAGATGAGATGAGAGAGAGAGAGAGAGAGATGAAGATAAGAGAGAGAGAGAGAGAGTGTGATAGAGAGAGAGAGAGATGTGATAGAGAGAGAGAGATGTGAAGAAGAAGAGAGAGAGATGTGATAGAGAGAGAGATGTGATAGATGAGAGAGAGAAGAGGAGGTGATAGAGAGAGAGATGTGATGGGGAGAGAGATGTGATGGAGAGAGAGAGAGATGTGATGGAGAAGAGAGAGAGAGAGATGTGATGGAGGAGAGAGAGAGAGATGATGAGAGAGAGAGAGAGAGAGATGTGAGAGAGAGAGAGAGAGATGTGATGAAGAGAGAGAGAGAGATGTGATGGAGAGAGAGAGAGAGATGTGATGGGAGAGAGAGAGAGAGATGTGATGGAGAGAGAGAGAGAGATGTGATGAGGAGAGAGAGAGAGAGATGTGATGGAGAGAGAGAGAGAGAGATGTGATGGAGAGAGAGAGAGAGATGTGATGATGGAGAGAGAGAGAGATGTGATGGAGAGAGAGAGAGAGAGAGTGATGAAGAGAGAGAGAGAGAGATGAGATGAAAGAGAGAGAGAGAGATGAGATGGAGAGAGAGAGAGAGAGAGATGATGAGAGAGAGAGAGAGAGAGATGATGGAGAAGAGAGAGAGATGTGATAGAGAGAGATGATGATAGAGAGAGATGAGATAGAGAGAGATGAAGATAGAGAGAGAGAGAGAGGTGATAGAGGAGAGAGAGAGAGATGTGATGATAGAGAGAGAGAGAGATGAGATGTGATAGAGAGAGAGAGAGAGAGAGATGAAGAGAGAGAGAGAGAGAGATGTGATAGAGAGAGAGGAGAGATGTGATAGAGAGAGAGAGAGATGAGAAGAGAGAGAGAGAGATGTGAGAGAGAGAGAGAGAGATGAGAAGAAGAGAGAGAGAGAGAGATGTGAGGAGAGAGAGAGAGATGATGAAGAGAGAGAGAGATGTGATGAGAGAGAGAGATGTGATGGAGAGAGAGAAGAGATGGAGATGGAGAGAGATGTGATGGAGAAGAGAGAGAGATGGAGAGATGATGGAGAGAATGGAGAGAGAGATGTGGATGGAGAGAGAGAGAGAGATGAGATGGAGAGAGAGAGAGAGATGAGGATGGAGAGAGAGAGAGAGATGTGATGGAGAGAGAGAGAGAGATGTGAGGAGAGAGAGAGAGAGATGTGATGGGAGAGAGAGAGAGAGATGTGATGGAGAGGAGGAGAGAGGATGTGATGGAGAGAGAGAGGAGATGATGAGAGAGAGAGAGAGAGAGAGATGAAGATGGAGAGAGAGAGAGAGATGTGATGGAGAGAGAAGAGATGGAGAGAGAGAGGGTGATGGGGAGAGAGAGAGATGTGATGGAGAGGAGAGAGATGATGATGGAGAGAGAGAGAGAGAGATGAGATGGAGAGAGAGAGAGAGATGTGATGGAGAGAGAGAGAGAGATGTGATGGAGAGAGAGAGAGAGAGATGTGATGGAGAGAGAGAGAGAGATGTGATGGAGAGAGAGAGAGAGATGTGATGAAGAGAGAGAGAGAGAGATGTGATGGAGAGAGAGAGAGAGATGTGATGGAGAGAGAGAGAGAGAGATGTGATGGAGAGAGAGAGAGAGATGAGATGGAGAGAGAGAGAGAGAGAGTGATGGGAGAGAGAGAGAGAGATGTGATGGAGAGAGAGAGAGAGATGTGATGGAGAGAGAGAGAGAGAGATGAGAGAGAGAGAGAGAGATGTGATGAGAGAGAGAGAGAGATGTGATGGAGAGAGAGAGAGAGATGTGATGGAGAGAGAGAGAGAGAGAGATGAGAGATGTGATGGAGAGAGAGAGAGAGATGTGATGGAGAGAGAGAGAGAGAGATGTGATGGAGAGAGAGAGAGAGATGATGATGGAGAGAGAGAGAGAGAGAGATGTGAGAGAGAGAGAGAGAGATGTGATGGAGAGAGAGAGAGAGATGTGATGGAGAGAGAGAGAGAGAGATGTGATGGAGAGAGAGAGAGAGATGAGATGGAGAGAGAGAGAGAGGGAGAGATGATAGAGAGAGAGAGAGAGAGAGAGGGAGATGTGATAGAGAGAGAGAGAGAGGGAGGGAGATGTGATAGTGAGAGAGAGGCGAGAGAGAGAGATGTGATAGAGAGAGAGATGTGATAGAGAGAGATGTGATAGAGAGAGATGTGATAGAGAGAGATGTGATAGAGAGAGAGGTGATAGAGAGAGAGGTGATAGAGAGAGAGGTGATAGAGAGAGAGGTGATAGAGAGAGAGAGGTGATAGAGAGAGAGGTGATAGAGAGAGAGGTGATAGAGAGAGAGGTGATAGAGAGAGATGTGATAGAGAGAGATGTGATAGAGAGAGATGTGATAGAGAGAGAGGTGATAGAGAGAGAGGTGATAGAGAGAGAGGTGATAGAGAGAGAGGTGATAGAGAGAGAGGTGATAGAGAGAGAGGTGATAGAGAGAGAGGTGATAGAGAGAGAGGTGATAGAGAGAGATGTGATAGAGAGAGAGAGAGAGATGGGAGAGGGGGGGGGGGGAGAGAGGGATGATGGAGAGAGGGATGATGGATAGATGATAGATATATTATAAATACAGTATGTAACCCTCTCGGGGGGGAGGAATTAACTGGTAAAAAAAAGCTGTTACAGTGGAGACTATGGTAATGCTATGGACAGACCGCAGCATATACAGTATTTCTGATTTTTGGCTATACTTCTGCTTCATGTCTTGTAGGTTGCTCACGCTTACCTACTTATAAAAAAAAATATAAAAACTGTTACTTGCCTGGCTGTCCCTGGCACTAATAATGAGACACCTAGAACAAGCATGCAGCAAGTGAAGTCAGATCCCTTTTTTATAATATTAGATTTGAGCCCAGTACAGACGCAGAGTTCTGTGGCTTGCTTCGTAAGTGTGGAAATCCGCAGAACAAGATGGAGTTAATAAAGAGGACCGAGGTCTACACTGTGTCCCAGTGAAGCAAAACTCCCACTCCTTCGTAGGATCATCCCAAGTTTTTTTTTTCTCTTTTTATAGGGGTGAGGTCATTAATGGAGGCTTTGGCCTGGTGCTGGATGGATCCCCAGAGGCCGAGCACAATGCCAAAATGATGCTGAGCTGGGATGTGTCCAATGGGGTAAGGTTCTGTGTGGTGCTTTTTTTTTCCTTTCTTTTCTTCTTTCTTTCTTCCTTCCTTCCTCTTCCTTCTTTGGTTTTTCCTTCATTCTTTTTTTTTCCTTCCTTCCTTCCCTTTTTTTTTCTTTTTTCCTTCATTTCTTTTCCTTCCTTCCCTTTTTTTTTTTTTTTCCTTCATTTTCTTGTATATTTATGATTTACATGTTTTATCTTTCGATCATTACTGTATACCTGGATGTCTCTGAGCTGCCAACTTGAACAAGCATGTAGCAAGTGAAATCACACCCGTTCAAGGGGCCGTCTTCACCAGCACGGTGTTTCATGCATCCATGTTCAGGCAGTCTCCTTCATGTATGTTGGGATGCTGCAGCTGCCCGGACACAGCCATTGCTTCCAAACAGAGCACCATACAGGTGCGCAGCCCTGAACGCAGCCAACATTTGCCACATATCGTGCGCAAAGTATGACTCAACTGATATCCACTAGATCAGCCCCAGTGATCTCACTCCGTGTATCCAACTCCTTGTTCCTTTGCTGCAGTGGTCTCCATATTGGGGGCCAAATGCGGCCCTTTGCCTGCCTTTTATCTGGCCCTTGGTGCATTAATCCTTCCACTGACACCCATGATGGGGCGCTATTGCTCCGACTGATGTCCATGATGGGGCGCTATTGCTCCGACTGACGCCCATGATAAGGCGCTATTGCTCCGGCTGACGCCCATGATAAGGCGCTATTGCTCCGGCTGACGCCCATGATGGGGCGCTATTGCTCCGGCTGACGCCCATGATAAGGCGCTATTGCTCCGGCTGACGCCCATGATGGGGCGCTATTGCTCCGACTGACGTCCATGATGGGGCGCTATTGCTCCGACTGACGTCCATGATGGGGCGCTATTGCTCCGACTGACGTCCATGATGGGGCGCTATTGCTCCGGCTGACGCCCATGATGGTGCGCTATTGCTCCGGCTGACGCCCATGATGGTGCGCTATTGCTCCGGCTGACGCCCATGATGGTGCGCTATTGCTCCGGCTGACGCCCATGATGGTGCGCTATTGCTCCGGCTGACGCCCATGATGGTGCGCTATTGCTCCGGCTGACGCCCATGATGGTGCGCTATTGCTCCGGCTGACGCCCATGATGGTGCGCTATTGCTCCGGCTGACGCCCATGATGGTGCGCTATTGCTCCGGCTGACGCCCATGATGATGCGCTATTGTGTGCTGCCCCGCTGACGCCCATGATGGTGCGCTGCTCCGGCTGACGCCCATGATGGTGCGCTATTGCTCCGGCTGACGCCCATGATGGTGCGCTATTGCTCCGCTGATTGCCCGGATGGTGCGCTGTTGCTCCGGCTGACGCCCATGATGGTGCGCTGTTGCTCCGGCTGACGCCCATGATGGTGCGCTGTTGCTCCGGCTGACGCCCATGATGGTGCGCTGTTGCTCCGGCTGACGCCCATGATGGTGCGCTGTTGCTCCGGCTGACGCCCATGATGGTGCGCTGTTGCTCCGGCTGACGCCCATGATGGTGCGCTGTTGCTCCGGCTGACGCCCATGATGGTGCGCTGTTGCTCCGGCTGACGCCCATGATGGTGCGCTGTTGCTCCGGCTGACGCCCATGATGGTGCGCTGTTGCTCCGGCTGACGCCCATGATGGGGCCGCTGTTGTTCCGGCTGACGCCCATGATGGGGCGCTGTTGCTCCGGCTGACGCCCATGATGGGGCGCTGTTGCTCCGGCTGACGCCCATGATGGGGCGCTGTTGCTCCGGCTGACGCCCATGATGGGGCGCTGTTGCTCCGGCTGACGCCCATGATGGGGCGCTGTTGCTCCGGCTGACGCCCATGATGGGGCGCTGTTGCTCCGGCTGACGCCCATGATGGGGCGCTGTTGCTCCGGCTGACGCCCATGATGGGGCGCTATTGCTCCGGCTGACGCCCATGATGGGGCGCTATTGCTCCGGCTGACGCCCCATGATGGTGCGCTATTGCTCCGGCTGACGCCCATGATGGTGCGCTATTGCTCCGGCTGACGCCCATGATGGTGCGCTATTGCTCCGGCTGACGCCCATGATGGTGCGCTATTGCTCCGGCTGACGCCCATGATGGTGCGCTATTGCTCCGGCTGACGCCCATGGTGATGGTGCGCTATTGCTCCGGCTGACGCCCATGATGGGGCGCTATTGCTCCGGCTGACGCCCATGATGGGGCGCTATTGCTCCGGCTGACGCCCATGATGGGGCGCTATTGCTCCGGCTGACGCCCATGATGGGGCGCTATTGCTCCGGCTGACGCCCATGATGGTGCGCTATTGCTCCGGCTGACGCCCATGATGGGGCACTGATGATGGGGTATTTTCTACTCCCACTGGCTGCAGTCTGGCCCTCACTAAAGCCTGAAGGACCGTAAACTTTCCCTTTGCTTAGAAAGTTTGGAGATCCCTGCTCTACTGAATTTGTTGTGTATTTGCTACATTTTATTGCTCTTGAACAGGCTTATTTTAGAGGTGTGGTGTGTTTTTTTTATTCATTTTTTCTTTTTTGTTTTTACCAGGTGGCGAGGCGTTGCTGGTCGGGTAACAAAAATGCCTACGACACCATCGTTGAAACCATGGAGTCGAATCATAGACTGAGAGTGACGCTGCCATACACGGTGAAGGACCCGAGTGTTCTGGAGAAGGCTTTGGCTCAACTTTGACCTCTTCACGGTCTATGGTCTGCAGTGACCAATGAAATCCATCATTCACACCTCTGCGTCCCTCCTACCAGCACATGTCTGGTCGTTCCCAACGTGCAAACCCTTTCGTAATCGAATCGAGCAACCGCAGTTGGGGCTTTCTGTATGAGGGTCTCAGAAGTCGTATATTGTGACCCAATCTCCACTACACTGCTCTGCACCAACCTCACCCGAATAAACAAATGTGTTTTATTAGCATCCTGTGTGAAGAAGGTTTTCTATGTGAAAGCTGACCAGCGTGCGTGCGTGCGTGCGTGCGTGCGTTAAACCCAGTTCCCACCGGCCTATTGTCAAAGGATGGCCGAGTGTGACACTTGTCATTCTGGGTGGACGTCACATGACATACTCCCCGTAACACACTGCGCTGTGGCACGATTCGTCAACTGCTGTCCACATCACAGCAGACCACATGGCAATTGTACACAATGATAAATAGCCGGGCGTAGAGCTAAAATAACCACATCGAATGAGCAGAGTCGATAAATCATAAATGGCAAAACACAATAAAGTGACTTTGTGATATTGTATGAAACGTGTCATTCTTGTCAAGGCCATTTGCACATATACACCTTAACCCCTTTGCGCCGGCCGCACCCAAATGTGCGGCCGCCCGGCGTCTGGGCCTAGACGCCGAGCGGCCGCACATTTGCGTCCATGGAACTAAATACATATGTGCTGAGAGCGCGCGCTCTGCGCGCTCCCAGCACACATGTGTAGTACTCGCGGAAAGGTCCCGCTCCGCTCTTTCGAACGGGACCTTTCCCGATCATGTGACCGCCGTGACGCATCATCACGGCGGTCGCATGATTCCTAAACCACGCCCCCACCGCCCCGCCTCCCGGCGTCAGAATCTCTTAAAGGGCCGGGAGGCGGCGGCATCAAGGGGTTAACTATAGCAAGTTGTTATATGGGTGACCACAGTGATAAGGTGTTTGCACATCAATGAAGTGATAAACTATGTCACTACATGGTGACTACTGGTGTGCACACCCCCTATGAATACGTGCTATTGCACGAAACGCGTCGGGGAGGAGCTACAGCGCTAGGATGTCACACCGCCGGCACCACGTGAGTCCCGGCGGCCATCTTTGGAAACTGCAGCTGATCAGTGAGATTTGTTTTGACTGGAATAAATACCCTCTTTATATAAACGATATCACGCTATTGGCCTCCTCCTTTTTGGGGCTTCTCGGGAGCTGTAACCATCCACAGAGCGGCTGTACCATCACTGGCAGTGGATGTCGGATAGTGAGGGATACCAGACCTTAAAGGGACCTCCCAGTTCTCTGAGACTGATATCTCTAAATGCGCAGAGCGATTGCGTATCTGGTGAGTGCGCAGTCTTTATAACCTGAGGTATATCACCATCTTATCGGATCAGATTACTGGATCTTGAAGATCATCACGATCTCCCACGCACCTCATCTCTGGACTATATTTGGATTAGCTTTTCTGGCACTTTGCACATCAATCAATGAAGTGATAAACTATGTCACTACATGGTGACTACTGGTGTGCACACCCCATATGAATACGTGCTATTGCACGAAACGCGTCGGGGAGGAGCTACAGCGCTAGGATGTCACACCGCCGGCACCACGTGAGTCCCGGCGGCCATCTTTGGAAACTGCAGCTGATCAGTGAGATTTGTTTTGACTGGAATAAATACCCTCTTTATATAAACGATATCACGCTATTGGCCTCCTCCTTTTTGGGGCTTCTCGGGAGCTGTAGCTATCCACAGAGCGGCTGTACCATCACTGGCAGTGGATGTCGGATAGTGAGGGATACCAGACCTTAAAGGGACCTCCCAGTTCTCTGAGACTGATATCTCTAAATGGGCAGAGCTATTGCGTATCTGGTGAGTGCGCAGTCTTTTTAACCTGAGGTATATCACCATCTTATCGGATCAGATTACTGGATCTTGAAGATCATCACGATCTCCCACGCACCTCATCTCTGGACTATATTTGGATTAGCTTTTCTGGCACTTTGCACATCAATCAATGAAGTGATAAACTATGTCACTACATGGTGACTACTGGTGTGCACACCCCCTATGAATACGTGCTATTGCACGAAACGCGTCGGGGAGGAGCTACAGCGCTAGGATGTCACACCGCCGGCACCACGTGAGTCCCGGCGGCCATCTTTGGAAACTGCAGCTGATCAGTGAGATTTGTTTTGACTGGAATAAATACCCTCTTTATATAAACGATATCACGCTATTGGCCTCCTCCTTTTTGGGGCTTCTCGGGAGCTGTAGCCATCCACAGAGCGGCTGTACCATCACTGGCAGTGGATGTCGGATAGTGAGGGATACCAGACCTGACCAGACCTTAAAGGGACCGCCCAGTTCTCAGACTGATATCTCTAAATGGGCAGAGCTATTGCGTATCTGGTGAGTGCGCAGTCTTTATAACCTGAGGTATATCACCATCTTATCGGATCAGATTACTGGATCTTGAAGATCATCACGATCTCCCACGCACCTCATCTCTGGACTATATTTGGATTAGCTTTTCTGGCACTTTGCACATCAATCAATGAAGTGATAAACTATGTCACTACATGGTGACTACTGGTGTGCAAACACCTTATCGCTGTGGTCACCCATATAATAACTTGCTATAGTTAAGGTGTATATGTACAAATGGCCTTGACAAGAATGACACGTTTCATACAATATCACTGAGTCACTTTATTTATTGTGCTTTGCTATTTATGATTTATGGACTCTGCTCACTCATCTCGCATCATTTTATGTGGTTATTGTAGCGCTACGCCCTGATATTTATTGTTTATCTTAGAGGTTTTTTTGGTACCTTTTTGGTGTTTAGCAGCTTTTAGACTTTTAGCGCTCGCTTACCCTCGTCTATTATAATTTGTACACAATGGATGGCGCTCATTCATGCCATTCATTGTGTACTATTGTATTGATCTGTGTGATTGGCCCTGTCTGTACCATGTGATCACTGTGACCAATCACAGCTAACATTTATCTAGAGTAGTACAGTGTTTCTATGGTTTAAAATGAAGCTAAACCCATCAATTTAACTGCCCCCCCCCCCCAAAAAAAAAGTCAAGGCATGCTGTAAATGAGAACTGTGACAACCCAACATATGGGATTTTCTTTAATTTTTGTTGACAATGGTAAAAAGAACAAAGAGGGTGATTCTCCAACCCCTGTCAGATTTTTGCTGTGCGTTGGGTTGATTTACTAAATCCGGAGAGTGCAAAATCTGGTGCAGCTGTGCATGGGAGCCAATCGGCTTCCAGGTAGGTATGTGGTTTGTGTTTGTGTGGTTTTTTTTTTTGTTTGTTATAAAGCTCAATTGCAGAAGCTGTTACCAGGGGCAGACTGACCATTCAAGCACTAGTGCACTTCCCGAGGGCCCGGGGTCAGTAGGGGGCCCCATGAGGTGCCCCTGGTACTTTTTTTTTTTTTTTTTTTTTTTTTTTTAAATTGACTTTTTCATAGGCTTTTTTGGGTATGGGCAAGGACACAAGGGCCCCATGAGTTGTCAGTCCACCCCTGTTGGTTACCATGCACGACTGCACCAGAATTTGCACTCTCCAGTTTTGCAGGAAGTGAAAGGGAATCCCTCTTTTCGTTGTTCCCATTGGAATATATTCCGGTTTCCAAAATTTTTACGATTTCTTTTCACTTTCAGTGATAATGTTAAACAGGACAAATGGGGTGAATCTCCCTAATGGGGACACAGACAGCAATAAATCCTGACAGGGGTTCTAATCCCTCTTCACTCCATCCAATATGTTTTATTTATTTTTTATTTTATCCTTTTTTTAATGGCAAATACTGACCTGTAGCTGGGACAGCAGGAGCGAGCAGCACGGCCTCAGTCCTGCAATGTACCAAACTGTTCTTATCTTGGGTGTTGTCCTATAAAATTCTGACAAATCTTTGGTGAAATCCAGCTTTCCGCCCTTCTCATGAGAATTTCCTCTAGGTATGGATGTGGTTTATCCTAGTAGCATGACAAAACAAGGGTGCACATCGCCCCCTACTGCAGAAGAGGGGAAATGACAAAACAAGGGTGCACATCGCCACCTACTGCAGAAGAGGGGAAATGACAAAACAAGGGTGCACATCGCCACCTACTGCAGAAGAGGGGAAATGACAGAACAAGGATACACATCGCCACCTACTGCAGAAGAGGGGAAATAACAACATAGGGTACACATCGCCACCTACTGCAGAAGAGGGGAAATAACAGAACATAGGATACACATCGCCCCCTACTGCAGAAGAGGGGAAATAACAGAACATAGGATACACATCGCCACCTACTGCAGAAGAGGGGAAATAACAGAACAAGGATACACATCGCCACCTACTGCAGAAGAGGGGAAATGACAGAACAAAGGATACACATCACCACCTACTGCAGAAGAGGGGAAATGACAGAACATAGGATACACATCGCCCCCTACTGCAGAAGAGGGGAAATAACAGAACAAGGATACACATCGCCACCTACTGCAGAAGAGGGGAAATAACAGAACAAGGATACACATCGCCACCTACTGCAGAAGAGGGGAAATGACAGAACAAAGGATACACATCGCCACCTACTGCAGAAGAGGGGAAATGACAGAACAAAGGATACACATCGCCACCTACTGCAGAAGAGGGGAAATAACAGAACATAGGATACACATCGCCCCCTACTGCAGAAGAGGGGAAATGACAGAACAAAAGATACACATCGCCACCTACTGCAGAAGAGGAGAAATGACAGAACATAGGATACACATCGCCACCTACTGCAGAAGAGGGGAAATGACAGAACATAGGATACACATCGCCACCTACTGCAGAAGAGGGGAAATAACAGAACAAAGGATACACATCGCCACCTACTGCAGAAGAGGGGAAATAACAGAACATAGATACACATCGCCACCTACTGCAGAAGAGGGGAAATAACAGAACATGG